CCCCCTCATGTTCCTCTCCTCATTGGCCTCTTCCCCAGCCGATTTGGCTTTGACGGGGCTCGCGTGCTACTCCACCACGCTATAGATGTCAACTCACGCTAGAGCGCCCGCATGGCGAGGCGATGCAACTCTTCTGGAGAAAGCGATCGACGACCATATGGGGCCGATCATCGCTGGGGGCGGCTGGGACTACGAGTCAATCGACATGAAAATTGGCGTCTGCACGGACCACCTCGCCAAGAAGTACAACGGCCTGCTGAGCGACCTCGTGGACATCGACCCACGGGGGGCATACTTCAGGCAGTCCGACCTCCAGAAGGCGATGATGGTAAGCGTTCTCAAGGATGAGCACCGAGAGGTGTTCAAGGCGATGTGCGCGTTCAGGAAGTGGGACGACCTCAACGTCGGCACGGTGAAGGTCAGCTACATGATTCGGGTCATGGCCTCGCACCTCAGGCTGAAGTTCGATCAGTACACTAGCCTGAAGAACAAGACCGACGCCCGTGCGCATCCTGCACCGCTCGTGGCGATCTACGAAAAGATCAAGCCTGACAGCCCAGCACCCACGGCCAAGAAGAACATTCTCAACCCGTTCATCTACTACCGCGACAGCGACTTGGACGGCGAAGACGACGATGAGGACGAATCGACGATCGTAATCGACAAGTGCTTCAACTACACTGAGATGAAAGCCTACGTGCTGCTTTCGGATGGCTCTCGGGCTCCAGCCGTGAAGTACTCTGCTGGGGAGGATGGCATGGTTCTGGCGCACTTCGAAGTGAAATATTCCGCTGAGCCGTGGGCGACCGAGCTCCCGAACAGCAGCCTCGCCGAAGATGGCCTTTCGATACTGAAGCCCGAAGCTGCAGACTCCACCTTGAAGGTTAAGAAAGGCAAAGCCAAGGGCAAAAGCAAAGCCAAGGCCAAAGGCAAAGCCAAACCTCACGAGACTGGAATGAAACGACCAGCTGCGGCAGCCGATGTCCTCGAGGAGCCAGCCGAGAAGAAACACACTGGCGACGGCGAATCAGAGACTTCAGAGATCTTCAATGGGACCGATATCATGAACACGCTCCCGCCCAAGGCCAGGATCACCAACCTCGAGCCTGGCCGCAAATCCTACACGCTGCCCAAGGCCGACGACGGCGACGCTGCCATCTCCGTACTACTCGAAAGGAAGGCGTTCTACATAAAGCCAGTGTCCGAGGCCCAGCTTGAGAAAACCAGGAACGACGATAGGTTCACAGAGCTCCTCAAAGACAGGCAGCTCAACTCAGCCTCGGGGATCCAGGTCGGTTTTTACGACGATCCAGCCCTTTCCTTCGACGCAGTGGTTGCGATGGCAGCACCGACCGATGAAGCCTGATGCCGTTCACGCTGGCCCGATCGAGGCATCAGCGGTGCTGGCGCCACAGGCGCCTTAGATCAAGGTGGAGTAGCAGCACACACACATAAAGCATTCCTCCTTCATTATCCTCATCTGTCTCATCCAAGCCCCCCATCCAATCAAAGAGGGGGGATGGGGGAAGTCAGAGAGATAGAGAGATAGGGAGAGTGAGAGAGATCACGATAGAGAGGGAGAGCAATCGACATAGAGAAACCGAACACGTGAGAGAGATCGAGAGAAAGAGAGAGGTATACTACGGGAGGGAGAGAGCGAGAGGGAGAGAGAGAGAGAGAGAATGAGAGCAAGAAAGATACCCAGCTGGAAATCAATCGAAGCTCCCGCTTTGAAAAGGAGATGCCATTGACCTCGTCCTGTAAGCCGTTGCCCACCCCAGCCCCCAGAGGCCTCGAGCCCCGCCTCCTGAAGTGGAGCTCAAGCGAGAACCCCGTTTTGGAAAAGGAGCAGCCCTCAACCTCATCCTCTGTGCCCTCTCTGGTCCCCCCCAGCCCCCAGAGGCCTCGGGCCCCGCCTCTCACGGCGCCTCCCCTTGGGTCCCTCCAGAGCGCCCCATCGGGAACTCAAGCGAGAACCCCGTTTTGAAACAGGAGCCGCCCTCAACCTCATCCTCTGTGCCCTCTCTGGCCCCCCCCAGCACCAGAGGCGTCGGGCCCGCCTCACGGCGCCTCCCCAGGGTCCTCCAGAGCGCCCCATCGGGAACTCAAGCGAGAACCCCGTTTGAAACAGGAGCCGCCCTCAACCTCACCTCCCCTCTCTGGTCCCCCCCAGCCCTCCTCGGGCCCGCCTCTCACGGCGCTCCCCATGGGTCCCTCCAGAGCGCCCCATCGGGAACTCAAGCGAGAACCCCGTTTTGAAACAGGAGCCGCCCTCAACCTCATCCTCTGTGCCCTCTCTGGTCCCCCCCAGCCCCTAGAGGCCTCGGGCCCCGCCTCTCACGGCGCCTCCCCATGGGTCCCTCCAGAGCGCCCCATCGGGAACTCAAGCGAGAACCCCGTTTTGAAACAGGAGCCGCCCTCAACCTCATCCTCTGTGCCCTCTCTGGTCCCCCCCCCAGCCCCCAGAGGCCTCGGGCCCCGCCTCTCACGGCGCCTCCCCATGGGTCCCTCCAGAGCGCCCCATCGGGAACTCAAGCGAGAACCCCGTTTTGAAACAGGAGCCGCCCTCAACCTCATCCTCTGTGCCCTCTCTGGTCCCCCCCAGCCCCCAGAGGCCTCGGGCCCGCCTCTCACGGCGCCTCCCCATGGGTCCCTCCAGAGCGCCCCATCGGGAACTCAAGCGAGAACCCCGTTTTGAAACAGGAGCCGCCCTCAACCTCATCCTCTGCGCCCTCTCTGGTCCCCCCCAGCCCCCAGAGGCCTCGGGCCCCGCCTCTCACGGCGCCTCCCCTGGGCCCTCCAGAGCGCCCCATCGGGAACTCAAGCGAGAACCCCGTTTTGAAACAGGAGCCGCCCTCAACCTCATCCTCCCTCTCTGGTCCCCCCCAGCCCCTAGAGGCCTCGGGCCCCGCCTCTCACGGCGCCTCCCCTTGGGTCCCTCCAGAGCGCCCCATCGGGAACTCAAGCGAGAACCCGTTTTGAAACAGGAGCCGCCCTCAACCTCATCCTCTGTGCCCTCTCTGGTCCCCCCCAGCCCCTAGAGGCCTCGGGCCCCGCCTCTCACGGCGCCTCCCCTTGGGTCCCTCCAGAGCGCCCCATCGGGAACTCAAGCGAGAACCCGTTTTGAAACAGGAGCCGCCTCAACCTCATCCTCGTGCTCTCTGGCCCCCCCCAGCCCCCAGAGGCCTCGGGCCCCGCCTCTCACGGCGCCTCCCGTGGGTCCCTCCAGAGCGCCCCATCGGGAACTCAAGCGAGAACCCCGTTTTGAAACAGGAGCCGCCCTCAACCTCATCCTCTGTGCCCTCTCTGGTCCCCCCCAGCCCCTAGAGGCCTCGGGCCCCGCCTCTCACGGCGCCTCCCCTTGGGTCCCTCCAGAGCGCCCCATCGGGAACTCAAGCGAGAACCCCGTTTTGAAACAGGAGCCGCCCTCAACCTCATCCTCTGTGCCCTCTCTGGTCCCCCCCAGCCCCTAGAGGCCTCGGGCCCCGCCTCTCACGGCGCCTCCCCTTGGGTCCCTCCAGAGCGCCCCATCGGGAACTCAAGCGAGAACCCGTTTTGAAACAGGAGCCGCCCTCAACCTCATCCTCTGTGCCCTCTCTGGTCCCCCCCAGCCCCTAGAGGCCTCGGGCCCCGCCTCTCACGGCGCCTCCCCTTGGGTCCCTCCAGAGCGCCCCATCGGGAACTCAAGCGAGAACCCCGTTTTGAAACAGGAGCCGCCCTCAACCTCATCCTCCCTCTCTGGTCCCCCCCAGCCCCCAGAGGCCTCGGGCCCCGCCTCTCACGGCGCCTCCCCTTGGGTCCCTCCAGAGCGCCCCATCGGGAACTCAAGCGAGAACCCCGTTTTGAAACAGGAGCCGCCCTCAACCTCATCCTCTGTGCCCTCTCTGGTCCCCCCCAGCCCCCAGAGGCCTCGGGCCCCGCCTCTCACGGCGCCTCCCCATGGGTCCCTCCAGAGCGCCCCATCGGGAACTCAAGCGAGAACCCCGTTTTGAAACAGGAGCCGCCCTCAACCTCATCCTCTGTGCCCTCTCTGGTCCCCCCCAGCCCCCAGAGGCCTCGGGCCCCGCCTCTCACGGCGCCTCCCCTTGGGTCCCTCCAGAGCGCCCCATCGGGAACTCAAGCGAGAACACCGTTTTGAAACAGGAGCCGCCCTCAACCTCATCCTCTGCGCCCTCTCTGGTCCCCCCCAGCCCCTAGAGGCCCTAGAGGCCTCGGGCCCCGCCTCTCACGGCGCCTCCCTCAGGTCCCTCGAGAGAGCCTAGAGGGAACTCAGGCGAAACGCCAACAGGCATAACCACTTAAATGTAGACAATGCGTCGGGGCAAGCGAGCACGCCGCAACGACACAAAAACACGAGCAGGACAAACGAACAAACGAGCAGACAAGCTGAGCAAACGACCAGGCGAGCAGAGCAAACAAGCAGGCGAGCAGAGCAAACTAGCAGGCGATAAAAACAACTGAGCAGGTTAGACGGCGGCAACGACATGCCCCGCGCCGCGGGCCCCCGTTCATCCACGGCTCTCGCACTGACGATCGAACGCGCACGTGTGCAGTGATGTAAACGAATATTGGTTGCGCCTGAATCGGTCACACCATATGTGAATATGAGACCTGCATATATGATATATGAAATACAGACATGCACACACTCCAAAATTTAGAGGATTACGTTACCCTACAAAATTTAGGAGATCAACTACAAAATGTATAATAGCACTCGCACGGCGCAATCACTTTTAGTAGTCTCCAAAAAACAGGAGGATCAGATGACCAGGGCTCCCTCCTCCCTCCCCCCTCCTGCCTCCTGCCTCCCTCCTCCCTCCTCCCTCCTTCCACCTCCCTCCTCCCTCCTCCTCCTGGCAAAATCAGCCAGCATAAAACCGGAAAATCGGATCGGATCGGAACGTGCGTCGAATCGGCCTGCATCGGCACCGAGGCGGCACCGCATCGGATCGGCCGCGCCCCACGGTGCACGAGGACGCCTTGGGGGGGGAGCCCTCCTGGACCTGCCGCTCCAGCAGCGCGCCGCGGGGCACGTACTTCTGCATCTCCAGCTGCCCCACGAAGCCAGCGCGGCGGTGCTCTGGCTTGCGCCAGGATCCGTCCGGCCTCCTCGCCGCGACCGTCCCACTTCCAAGGGGGCTCTCCCTGGAGAGGATGCGGAGCAGCGGGGGACTCAACTCACACGGTCAACCCGCCGAATAAGGATGCGCGGTAAGGATGCAAGGGCCTTGGAGGATCATGCTCACGTTTCTCAAAGCGAAAACCGCTAAGGATAGGCCGAAGGGGAAGGATGCGAGGGTAGCCTTGGAAAGTCGCTCGTCCTTGCTGTGCGGGTTGACCGTGCCTCCCTCGCATTGCAAGTGACCTAAGCAACGCTTACACTTGGGGGGGTCATATTTCGGCCGCCCAAAGAATTGGATGGGCGCGTCGGCCTCGCTGCCGCCTCATGCGCTGGGTGGGCGGGTCGGGCATCCGGCTGGTGCCCGGCCGGTGCCGCCTCGTGGCCGCCTCGTGCGCTGGGTCGGAGGGTCGGGGTTTCGGCCGGTGCCTGGTTGGTGCCGCCTCGCTGCCGCCTCGTGCTCTGAGCCTACACGACACTGCTTCCACAGCGCCACTTATACACCACATCGCTTATACCACTTAGCTTGCACCGCACATGGTGCACCACGTAGCTTGTATCACATAGCTGACAGCCTGCACTCCATTGCTTTCACCTCCAGTGCGCACCGCCTAGCATACACAACATAACTTACATCACATAGCTTACACCGCGCAAATGTCACCTCCACAACTCACCGCATAGCTTACACGACATAGCTTTCACCACATAGCTTACACCGCATAGCTTTCACTTCCACGGTGCAATAACACACTGTCTGGGCTCGACGCCAGCGAACATCTCGTACGGATAATTTTTGCATTTCTCGGCGTCTGGGTGCCCGCGCTGGGCTCCAGCACTCGGCAAACGATCGGGGACGATAAAAAACAGCCCCTGGGAAGTGGTCAATAGCTCGGGGAGGAGGCGCAGTCGACATATCATCAAGACATCGGAGCTCATGCTGGGGAACGCTGGGGGTGTGTGGGGCACCTCAGGGGCGGAAGCCTCGAGCTGGAAGTGGCGATACATCGCCGATAGCTCGGCGACAGGCCCAAGCCAGCGACTCCGCACTCTCCTGGGCGGGGTGGACTAGCGGGCACCTATCGGCGATCCATGGGCGCTCGGCGGTCGAGGTGCATTCCCTCTGGGCGTAGCTCCCCCTGACGTTGCCCCAGCAGGGCGAGGAGAAGGGGAGGGAGCATCGTTTTCGTTGGTTTCGGGGGGTCCTCCATCTCTACCTCCTCCACCTCTTTCTCCTCCTCCTCGGGCTCGGATCAGCGGGCGGCTGACCCACGAACGGAGCAGCCCTCAAGCCACGCCGCCCTCCCTCCTCCTCCTCCTCCTCCTCCTCCTCCTCCTCCTCCCAACCTTTTTCACGCAGAGGGAGAATCTACTCTGAAACTGGCTTGAGCTGGCCGGCAAGCACGGGAGCGGGCTTGGCGTTTTGCCTGGTGCTTCCTCAACAGGGGCTGACACTCCCAGCAATTTCAAGGACGGATGCCCGCATTCAAACTGACGCTCTCGCATCTGCGCCGCGCACAGTCGTCTTGACAGTTTGTAGCAAGTGCACGGACGGAGGACGGTGCCTTTTCAAAATGGGGCTCTCGCCTGGACATCGCGCACATTCGTCTTCAATGTTGGCAGCAACGGCAACTGCCAGCATGGAGGGCGGTACCTTTTCAAAATAGGGGCCCCCGGCTCTCGCATTAGCCTCGCGCAGATTCGTCTTCAGAACTCGCCACTGCTATTTTCAAAATGGAGATCTCGTCTCGGCAGCGCACAGTTTCGCCAAGAATCGGCAGCACTCGCAAAGGTGTGTGTGCGGGGGGGGGCGGTTCGTTTTCGAAATGGGGCTGTCGCCGTAGCGCTGCGCACATTCGTCTTGCAAACTTGCAACAGCCGCAAGGGTGGAGGATGGCTCGCTTTCAACATGGAGCTCTCGTCTCAACGCCGCGCGCATTCGTCCTGATTTGCAGCACTTCAGGAGATGGAGGACGGTTCCTTTTCGACATGAGGTTCTCGCTTCTTCAAATTTAGCGACGGGGAACTTGCACACGTGTAGCGACTGTAAAGATAGACGGACGGCGGCTTCCTTTTGCAATGCCGCTGTTGTTTGACACTTCCTCGAACTTAATTGCAATACGTGTACGTGTACATGTGTAAAACCGTATACGGAAATGGGGGCAATCCATCACACAGATCAACTCTGTGGTTACCTTTTGCGCATTCCTTCGGATGCGCAAGAAACGGGCAAACGCAGTTCCTGTTCAAACCAGGGCGCTGGCCTGAATGGCAGGTCCATGAGATGTTTGACCTCCAGGGAGCGCGTCTTGTAAAGAAAAGGACAAGCCGCTGGGACTTATGAGGGGGGGCTTGAGACTGGAGGGTGTTATGCCTGTTATGCAGCATCGTTGATGCATCTTGGGTTTACTCTGGTCCACGTCATCCTCCCCCTCTTTCTCCTGGTCTAACTCCACACCCATCTTCTCTCTCTGTCTCCCTCTTCCACCGCACCTGCACCTGCACCTCCACCGCCACCCCTGCCCCCGAACAACAACACCAACAACAACACCAACACCAACACCAACACCAACACCAACACCAACAACAACAACAACAACAACAACAGCAACAACTACAACAACAACAACAAGAACAACAACAACAACAACAACAACAACAACAACAACAGCAGCAGCAACAACAACAACACCAACACCAACAACACCAACAACACCAACAACACCACAACACCAACAACACCAACACCACCACCACCAACACCAACACCAACACCAACACCAACACCAACACCAACACCAACACCAACACCAACAACAACAGCAGCAGCAACAACAACAACAACAACAACAACATCAACAACAACACACATACACACACACCCATACTTTGCGTCTTCAACCCGTGACCTCCCTCGTCTACCGTGGCTGCGCCGCTGTACCGATGTGCGCGCAGGGGCCTGTGCCAGACAGGGTCCGTTCCCGCCAACGGAGTGCTCACTCTCGCTCGGGCACGATCCGGACAGCGGCCCGCCTCAGCCAGCGTCTGCCAACCACCTCCACCTCCCTCCTCCTCCTCCTCCTTCTCCTCCTCCCTGATACCTCATTCCCCACCTCCTCCTCTCGTCGTCCCTTCCTCCTCTTACTCCTCGACCTCATCCCTCCTGTTGCTACCTGCCGCTCGCCCTCCCAAGACGCCTCCCGCACCGTGAAGCCCGGGTGGAAATGAGCGCGATTGCGACAAGTCTCAACTACGCCCCCTGGGGCCCTTCGTCCTGCTCCTCCAACTGCTCCACCCGTCGAGCGCGGCCCCACCGACTCGCTCCGTGACGAGCCCCCTTCCGTTCATTACGGCCCTCTCGCCCTCGAGGCCCACCTCTGGCCGCTGGCCCACGTCTCGGATTCGGTGTGGCATGTCCTCCTGCAGCCAAAACAGAGGCAAACAAGATCTAAACGCAGTCCAGATAACTCGAAAGAGCACGAACAGTCGTCACCCGAGCCGGGCGCTCTGACGGAGTCCATTCATCGTGTACGCACTGTTTCCTCGAGGGCTCGCCGTAGACAAAAAATGTGATGCTTTTCCCATTCTCCGCGGAAGCGACTGTGGCCGGCCTCCCCCACGCCCCGCGCCCCCCCTCCCACTGCTCACGGCAAGATTCGCGGCGGCACCGTCTTGGAATGCGCCATCCGGGGGGCGCCCGTGAGGGTCCCCGCCCCGATCACACAGGGGGGCCCCCTGGCACTGGGCTTGTGGCCAGGGGCTCCGCCTCAGGTTAGGAGGCAACTACTGGGAGGTTTTCGTTGGAAAGAGTTAGGAGGATTAAGAAGCCCACTTGTGAGCTGTTACGCCGGAGTGGGCCTCGGATCAAGCAAGACTAAGCCGGATTAAGCGGGATTAAGCGGGATCAAGCGGGATTCAGCGGGATTAAGCCCGATTTCGGACCAGGGCAAAATCAGAATTTGACCTCCCAGGAGTTGCATCCGAACTCAGGCACCGCCTGGGCCTGGCACCCTCCTGCGGCGGGGGGTCCCGGCGGCTCTCCTGGCGCACAGCGCGGCGCGCGCTGCTCACGGTGCACGTGGCGCACCACTCCCTGGCCAGGCCGCCTTCGTGCTCGATGCGTTCACTCAGGAGGCCTCGGCCGAAGCATTCGACGAAGCTGGAGTTCTGCCAAGCCTACCCCCCCCCCTCCCGGCCCACCACCTGTTGGAGTCCCGAAACGGTGCGGTGACAGACCGTGCGGTGACCTCGAAATCCCCCAAGACCTCACCGCACGGTCCGTCACCGCACGGTCTTGGGACCGCGGAGGCCCCAGTCGCCCGAGACGTCCTCGGAGAACGACCCGAGTGCCAAAACCGTGCGGTGACCCCGAATCCCCACCGACTCACCGCACGGTGTGGTCACCCTCCCCATGTTTTAACACATTTTTTTGTTCCTCAGCGCTCACGCGAAGGGCCCGACCCGTACACCAGGCGGAGGGCGGCGACCCGGGCTGGCCGGGCGCCCGCAGCACCCCGCGGGCTGGCTGGCGGCGGCGGCACCCCGCCAGGCAAGGCCTGCCCAGGGCCAGCGCCATCGACCCCCGCCGGCGGCGTCGGGCAACCACGCGGCGTAGACGGCGCCAGACCAGCTGGCGGGCGTTGCTGCCAATAGGTAGAGAGGGCACCGCGCTTGCAAGCTGCGCCCACCGTCTGGCGCCGGGCCGTCGCACCCTGGGCGGCGCCAGACGTGCGCTCGGTCTTCTGGCAGATCTTCGAGCGAGCCTTCTGCGGTGTGATGTTTCGCTGCCCAGCGCGTGATGGGAAAAAACATTGGAATTGGAATCACCGTTCAACCGAAGTAGGGAAACGAACTCTATGCACCGACACTTTTCCCGACCCTGCGCTGCAATTCGCAGCCAGGAACGCGGATTCTGGCGTATACGAGATCCTGGTGTATACATTTTTCGTTGCTTTCCCGGGGCATCGGGGACAAAAAGTATACACCACACCACCCCAGCGTCGCCCCCGACCCTCGAAGAGTCCTGGGAAACGGCCCGCCACTGGCAATGCATACGTTCCAGCTTCCGACGAGAGCCTCCCGCAGGCGGGCATGGTCTGGCATCCCCTGGGGGAACCGCCTCCGGCGCGAGGTCCCTGCAAGCACGCCGCTGCCTCATGGGTTGGCGGCCCAACGCTTCCGAGACGTATTCTTGAAGGGGCCCTGAGACACGCAAATACATACACACAAGTAAAAATATGCCCCATGTGTTCCTATATATTCCCTACCTAGGCTCTGCCTACAAGGGATTTAGTGTAACTCGCCCCGGGCGGTTCCCCCGGCATCCGCCCCGCGGTTCCCCCAGTTGCGTCCCCTGGGTACACCCAGCTTAGCTTAGCTAAGGTAAGCTTAGCTTAGCTTATCTCATCTTAGCTTAGCTTAGCTTTGCCTAGCCTAGCTTGGCTTGGCTTGGCTTCGCTTCGCTTAGCTTGTATCATCTTAGTTTAACTTAGCTTAGCTTAGCTTGGCTTAGCGTAACCTAGCCTAGCTTAGCTTAGTTTAGCTTAACTTCGCATAGCTTAGCTTACCTTAGCTTGGCGCAGCATTAGCACAACATAACATAGCATTGCATAGCCAAACATAGCTGCTAATGTTGCTTTCCTAGAGGCTCCAACTCCTAGGTCGGGTCGCGCTGGGATAAGTTTCTAGGTTTTTGTCTTCCCCTCCCCAATTCCAAAGTTTTTCCACATTTTCCTGGGAATCGACGATTAATTCCCCACATCCAAAGTGGGGTTCTCGTTTTCTCTGGACACCCCGCGCAGGAACAGGAACCCACCATCATCATCATCAGCATCACTCATTCCTCACTCACTCACCCACTCATCATCCCTCCCACACTCACTCACTCACTCACTCACTCACTCACTCACTCACTCACTGACTCATCAGCACTCACATATGATGATGAGTGCGCAAGTGAGAGAGCGTGATGATGATGATCATCATCATCATCATCATCATCATCATCGTCATCATCATCATCATCATCATCATCATCATCATCACCAGTCAATCAGTCAGTCAGTCAGTCAGTCACTCACTCACTCACTCACTCGCCTTGGGCCTCGTCTGTGAGTAAAGTATGAGGAAGTCTCAGGCGGGAGCCCCCTACCTACGGGGCCCGCGGATCATGCTACTAATTCGAGCGGGTCATCCAATTTTTGTAACTGTCGCCACTTTGGGGCTCTCGCGCTGCCAGAACGCCACTCCCAGGCCACATTTGTGAGTGAATTGCGACGAAGTCTCAAGCGGGAGCCCCCTCCCTATGGGGCCCACGGATCATGTTATTAATCCGAGCGGGTCATCCAATTCCTGTAACTGTCGCCACTCTGGGGCTCTCGCGCTGCCAGAACGCCACTCCCAGGCCACATGTGTGAGTGAATTGCGACGAAGTCTCAAGCGGGAGCCCCCTCCCTATGGGGCCCGCGGATCATGTTATTAATCCGAGCGGGTCGTCCAATTCCTGTAACTGTCGCCCCTTTGGGGCTCTCGCACTGCCAGAACGCCATTCCCAGGCCACATTTTGAATGCCCGGAGCCAACTGTAAGCCACTTCGTGTTCTTTGTGCTCCCAGAACACCATTCCCGGGCCACATTTTGAATGCCCGGAGCCAACTGTACGCCACTTCGTGTTCTTCGTGTTCCCAGAACACAACTCCGGGGCCGTTTTCTGAATGTCCGGAGCCAAAACAGGAGGGCGAGGTCGGGGGCAACGTAGGGAGCGGGGGGAGGGCCCGCGCCAGGGCGAAAAGAAATATACGCAGAAGAGACAGCCAGGACACCTCACCAACCACGAGGACGACGGTGAGGGCTTTTCCAGATTCGCCCAGAGGATTCTCATGCGGGGTCCTTCCGTCGGAGTAATTGTGTCTGTGTGTTTTTCCCCCTCCTGAATCCTGTCGAACTCGTTGGCGCCTCATGGGTTGGCGGCACTGATGTCGTTGACAAGTGTCCTTCCAAAGTCGCTGCTGATTCAGTGTCCTGTCAAGGTCGCTTATACCGCATGGACTAGCGACTCGATGCTTCTGGGAAATGCAACCTTAAACTATTCAGGTCTTTTTCGACGTACCATGCGTAATTAGCGAAAAAGCTCCAGTAAGGTATTCTGTGACACCGTTCGTGCTTGTTGGTGTCGCCGTGCAGGGCGTCGCAGACGCGAGCGACGCACCTACGTCGTGAAATTTCGAGGCCGCGACGCGCGCCGATATGGCACCCCCGCCTTTGCGGATAAGAGTGACGGGGCCAAGGGGGAGAGGAAGGGGAGGGGGAAGCGGAGCTACGATCAGGCGTTTCTTCAGGCAGTCTCCCTCCCCAGTGCGCCCTCACAGCATTACAGCGTGCCCTCCCAGCGCGCCCTCCCAGCGCGCCTTCCCAGCGTGCCCTCCCATCGTGCCCTCCCAGCGTGCCCTCCCGGCCTGCCCTCCCCGCGTGCCCTCCCGGCGTGCCCTCCCGGCGTGCCCTCCCTGCGTCGCCCTCCCGGGGTCGCCCTCCCGGCGTCGCCGTCCCTACTCCGGCCACGCGTGCCAGAATCATGCAAGACCGTTTGGGCCCCCTCACTCTGATGGCAATTTGGGATGTGCCGGCTTTTCCGCGGGTGACGGCCTTCAGGACTCCAGTGAGCCCGACGTCGCCCCTGGAGCCGTCCGCGTTGTTCTCTGCAGGCCTGGGTTGACTGCTGTTTGGGCTGTCGTTGGTCCCTTCTGCTTCGCGGCCATGCAGCGGTTGTTCTCCAGGCCTTGGGCCCGGGACCTGGCACTTGCGCTCTCGATGACGTTGCATTGTTTCCCGTCGTGCTGCGTTCCTTCCCTGTTGCGCCTCCCTCTTCTTTCGTACTTCCTCCTCTTAGTCGGTTACTTGGCGTCGCCGTTCCGCCGCCCCCTGCCGCTGGCTCGTGCCTGGAGGGCCTGGCGCCCCATGGTGCAGAGAGGCTGCGGCCGGAACAAGGCTTAGGTCGGGCATGTCCCCCTATAGGCGGATCTTGAAACATCAAAGGCACCCCGAAATTATTCCAACATAGTACAAATTATATAGAAAAAACGTCCCCAGGCTATTATAATGATTCTTATTATTATGATTGCATACTCCTCCTGTAGAGGGACATGCCCGACTTCAAAACAAGGCTTCCCCCATCGGTTCTCGGGGTGAAGCCTTTCGGGCGAACAGGGCGGCGCAAGATGCTGCCCCGCCGAGGCCGACTGACCGACCCCTCCTCCTTGCGAGCGCGAATGCGTGTTGTGCACCCGCACGCCCTGAGCACGTCCAGCCGCGCGACGACGGAGCAGGCGAGCACGACCCTGGAAACCGCTCCTCCCCTCCTCCTCCTCCTCCTCCTCCTCCTCTTCCTCCTCCGCCTCCTCCTCCTCCTCTTCCTCCTCCTCCTCCGCCTCCTCCTCCTCCTCCGCCTTCCCCTCCTCTCCTCCTCCTCCTCCTCCTTCTCCTCCTTCTCCTTGTCCTCAGCTCCCCTGCGGAGGGACTCGCGATGTGATCCTGGTCCAGCGCTTGGTGCTGCCGTCATCCAGGTTCAGGACGAAGCTGCCGTCCGCCTGCCGCTGCGCCTCGCCCCAGGGTTGTATAGGGCGCGCGCGGGCGGGAGTGGCGGCGGAAGGAGGCGAGCGAAGCGACGAGGGACGCTGCCATCCTCTCGCTGTGAAAAAATCACGACGAAGGGTTCTTGCTCACTCGCGGCCCGCAGGGGGTCGCGGGTCAAACAATGGAGGCCTCCTAGATGGGGTCGAAGTAGATGGGGTCGGAGGATCGCGCCACATCGCCGATACATCGGCGATGTATCGGCGATGAAACGTCGACATCGGCGATGCATCGGCGACGTCGGCGTGAAGCAGATCAGGCTCCACACCGAGCCGCATCGGAAATGAATTGGCGATGCGGCGCAATCCGATCCCATCTGGGAGGCCTAGATCGCTGTGAAAAAAACACGACGAAGGGTTCTTGCTCACTCGCGGCCGGCAGGGGGTCGCGGGGCAAACAGACGCACTATTTCCAGTCAGTGTTCGAGAAAACGAGTTAGTCTTGTCCTGGCCAAATCTGGTCACCAAAATTCTCTCCAGCCCCCTAGGCGCAATCCGTGTGAAGGATGTGCCAAAATTGGCCTCTGGACGCCGGCTCACTGGGCAACCGGGGAGCCAACCAACCAGCCAACCAACCAACCAAACAGCTTTTCCTGGTGCATTTTTACCGCTGGGCCCAAAGTTATTCCTGTCCGACCTAGAATGCCCGCGGGGCGGGGAAGGCGGGATGGAATGGAATGGACGCAATGGAAGAGGCCCTGGGACACACAAACAAATAGACACGAATAACAGGATTCCCCCGTATTCTCCCAGATGTTCTGGGTTTTTGTCTTCCCCCCCAATTCCCATATTTTCCCATGTTTTCTGGGGAATCGACGATTCATTGTGTCTGTGTGTTTTTGTTCCCTCCTGAGCAATGTTTTTTTGATCTCCACGGACCCACCGCAAAGTGCAGGCAACTGGCAGGGCGGGACCTGCCAGCACTGAAAGACCTCGCCTCGGCGAGAGCCGCTATGGGGAGGGGGCTTCGCGAGTTCCTTTCGGAGCGCCCACTATGGCCCCCTCCCCGCACGGATCGACCCTCGGCTCGGGCTCCCACTGTCTGGCAGACATGCCAGAGACAGTGCACAAAAAGAAATAAACTCTCCAAACAATAGCCAAACCTGTCACAGGAGGCGTAAGACAGGCAAGGACAGGCACCAGCTGACACTCTCAGCTGGAAAAAGTCGGCAACGCGGAGAGCATCCTGAGCGGACAGGCGGTCGCCGCTTAGGTCGCGAGCAGCAACCTATGCCACAACAGCCTGAAAGCCAAGGAAGCAAAGCACGGCCGAGGATAAGATTGTGAGCAGAAACTGTAAGAAAGGGAATGGCTCCGAAGGCCAACGCACGAACAAACGGTTCAAGCCTGCCAAAAGAGAAAGGCAGGCGAGAACGCAGAAATTCAATCCGAATCCCCCGACCCCGCCTCCACAGTCCCGCCCGTTCCCAGATCGTCCGCTTCGCAGCGGAGAGACTCAGCAATGCGATTCAAGCACTCCCTGGTGGCTGGGGCCGAGGCGACCACATCACACGAGGAAGAGCTGGGCGCAACGCTGCAGTTATGAGCACTGGCAGTGGCTGGAATAGCTGGCACTGTGAGGCTGGGACGCTCTTGCCCTCCAGCGCTGGCAGCACTGCCAGACTGGCCAGAAGGCGCAGAGCTAGAAACGTCTTCCTCCGAAAATTGAGGATTCGAAACCAAATATGAGTTGAAGCAACGAACAAGCGAGGTGTCATCAACTGTGACACCTTTGCTGGACTTGGAATACTGCGGGTGAATTCCCTTGCACAAGGCGGCCCAACCCTGACGACCCGCACGGGTAGGCTTCTTGCAAACTTCGCCAAGGCCTCGAATCCTGCCACCTGTGGAGTGGCATTTACATTTTAGGCATATGAAAAGCACTGTCTTGTCAGAGCAGTCGAAGGCAACAGTCCTATGCCCTAGAGCATCTTGCCTAGCCGCATGCAGCTTAGAATCCTGGGGGCACCTTCCAGGGGGAGGCCGTGACGAGCCCCTGCTCCCTCGGAGGCATACCGCACACCTCCAGACGTCAGCCCAGACTTCCCAACGATGGCCTACCTTACTGCGGGAGCTAAAATGCTCAGCAGGAGGAGGAGGGAGATAGGGAACGTCGAGAGAGAGCTTCGGCCAAAGAGGAAGCAAGTTAGCAGCAAGGATGCAATAACCCCTGGCCGCTTCCACAAGCTTGTCCACATTGGCAAGTTCAGTCGGGTCAGATGGGTGGAGCTGCAGGGCATGTTTGGCCCCCGCATCCGCATCGGCATTTCCACGCCTGAGGAAACGTTCTCTCTCGGAGATGCCCTCCTGGTGCACATCTAAATGAGCTTTGACCTTAACAATTCCTTCCAAAAAACGGCCCTCAAAGTTGTTGGCACACATGATCATTCCTGAATAAGACCTCTTGCCCGAGTACCTCTCGGGCAAGGGCAATGTGCTGTGAGACACAGCGTTCGCACAGTCCGAATAAATTGTGGTCGGCAACACCAATAACTGTGCGGCGACACATCTGGCAGCGTATTCAGCCGCCTGAGGCGTCTGAGGAAGATGAGCCCAAACAGGGCCTCTCGCCTCTCCAAGGCACGTGCCATCCTCAGCATTCATAGAAATCGCATAAGCAGCTCTAGACAATTCCTTGATCGGGTGGCGCTGACAGGACCCATCTATGAAAACGTGCCCCCACATCTCCCCGTTCACTGGGACCCTGGGACCTTCAGGGCTAGGAAGCTCGTCACTATGCCAGACGAACTGAAGGGCATTAGTTCCCTCCTCAACAGGACGCGGCAACACGTCAGCGGGATGAGCGAAAGCTCCTCTAGTATAAAGAGCTCGCACATGAGGGTCAGGTTCCGCCTGAGCTGTCCACACGGCGATGGCGTCTAGCACGACTGAGGCCGGGACCAGCTGAGTCCGCGACTCTTGGACTTCCTTCGCCGTGCACTGCCAAAGCCTGTGAAACACTGAGTCGGGCGCGGCAGAGCAGAAAGGACAAAGTGGGTCAACCTGATACCCACATGCCAAGGCCTTGTCCGCAGACCAAATGGCATCACAAGAGCAAGCCCGAATCCAGCCCCTCTGAGCTGGTGAGAACTTCTTACTGACACAAGCAGCTCTGGGAATGTCCAGACACGCCCTGCAATCGAGCCCCCATTTACCGCCAAGATCCCGCTCGAGCCCACGCATGTAGGCCTCCTTACACAAAGTGTCCAACAATTTGGGGGGGATCAGGCCGAGCTGCAAACGATAACCACGGTCGTCCAAGATAGTGGCATAGTCAACCATGGTCCACCCGAGGCGAAGGAGGGTAAGGCGAAGGGCAGACACGGGGCCCTTAACAGTAGGCCAAGTGACCCTAGGCAGCGCAAACACACTCCTGAAGCCGTCTCGGAGCTCCCTATGAGGAATGGACCAGGGGAACTCACGAGTTTGGGCCAGCCAGACCTCTTTGCTCCAGCGCAGGATGGGGGCCGAAGCAGCTCGCCAGCACGGGTCGTCCGACAAAAGGCTGACCGCCGTGAGAGACCTACTTTTAGCAAAAGGCCTCACAGTCTTGAAAGCTTGCCGCCTCATGGTAAGAAGAACCTGGTCGCTCGCCCCCAGGATGTCCGCCCCATAGGCCCCTCCAGGGAGGGGGCCCGCGGCGAACACTCTGAGGGCTTTGCGACCAAGGTAACCTGCCTGACGCTTGAGACGACGGGCTTTCCTGCAGAGCAGCGCCACACGGCTCTTGAGCTTCGAGCTCCGCCCTGAGGCCCTGACCGAGGTGCCAGCACAGTTGTCGACTCCGAGGTTCACAGTCGAGGCAGTGAACTTGCCTCCAAACTGTCCCAGGGCCGCAGCCAGCGCGGTGGCCAGGCCTTTGGAGGACGCAACGGTACAAATCTTGTCAAGAGCAAGCTGACAATTCATCTCATTCTCATCAGTAATAGCATGATGAAGAGCGAGAGAGACGGTAACAATGGACGAGATAACATGCTCTCTGGACCCCGTGCAAGACACTCCAGTGTCATCAATATATATGTCAAAATCAAGGGAGGGAACAGAGGGGAGCTTATCGAACGAAGACAAACCATAAATGCGTATATGAGTGGTGGCCATGCTGCAGCCAGCGATGACTCCTTTCCGCACAAAGTGCGGCCCATCCAGGAGGCCAGCGATGGAGACAAAGCGGCCACACCTATACGCATAAAGGGTAAGCCTAGTCAGCACAGTCGGGAAATTGTGAAGGTGGCAACGCTGCTCTAAAACGTCTAAGTCAATCGTTTCATAATACTTAAGCATATCATAGAAGACGCTGGCACTCTCTTCCTTTCTAGAGGTCCCCGTCTCAGAGCGAAACGATTGACGCCAGACCACATCCGCAGCTCCACGAAACGCTCCCGCAGCCCAGTACCGACGGGGGTGTTGCTGCTCCCAGTGTAAGGCAAGGGGGCGCCTGAGGCGTCCCCAGACCCTATACCAGGAGCAGAACACCCCTATCGGTCTGTAGCCACCGCTGGGTTTCGAGAGCAGGGCAAGCAACACCGCAGAAATCTGGCGCGGAAGTTGGCCAACCGACTCCATCAGCTGAAAGAGCATGCCGAGCGCGACCAGTCCGTCATCACACAGAAGGTGAAAGTGACGGCAATCAAACCCGTCATAAGTGACAGCCGAGGTTCTCTTATATTTCTTGCTGACAGCCCGCAACTGAACGGGATCGGCCCTGGGGAGAGCTTCCACCAGAGTGCAACCCACAGGATTGCCAGCTCCGACATTCCAAAACTTGGCAAACTTGGTGCCCTCGTGGGACAACAGCGAGAGGGGGTCGGCAACAACAGACCCATCTCTGGCGAGGGTCGTGGTAGGAACCCAGGGGGTGGGGTCACGGACAATCGCGTGCACCCGACGAGCCCCTTGATCGAGGCCCTCCGTGAGCCAGGCTCTCCAGTCTGACTGCGCCTGGGACCGATGCTCCACGTTGGCCCCTTCCA